CTGCAGTTCTTCATCTGGTCATCTGGGGTTGGGACCTCATAAAATAGCCCCTTTCAACTTTAGTCTGTTGGTCTTGTAGATGTATTGTGCAGCCTCCCTGTCATAGCTAAGCTATGCACTCTCACAGCAAACCTCTGGTCATCGTGGCTCTTACAATCTTTCCACCACCTGTCCTACAGTGTCCCTGGATCTTAGACACAGGAGTTGTGTTATAGATGATCAGTTGTTCTCTGCATTTTGACCAGCGGTACCTTTATGTAATGGTCTCCATATGCTGTGAAGAGAAGCCACTCTGATGGATGGTGACATAGCACCGTATTTTAAACCTTAGGTGTGAGCTACAGAGTTTTACTCTCCTTTATTCCCCTTGTAGATCAGGAGTCAGTCAACCACATATGGCCCATTGGTATTTATATAGTCTGTAAGTTAAGAATCATTTCCATATTTTAAATGGTTGAGAAAGATCAACATTTTGTGATAATAAACAAAATAAACAAAACATCAATATTTTGTGATACACTGTAATTGTTAGATCCCAAAGCAGCCCCCACAAACAGCAGTGGTTCTGACAATGTCCTAAAGATGGCAGCCTGGACCTAACCCAGGTGGGATTCTTACCATCTGGTAAACAGAAACCTAAACTCAGCGTTTCTCAAAAACCTCTTAAGGAAGCTTTTGTTTGTGGGGAAAGCCACTCTATCCGTCTCTACCTCCTAAGGCCAAGTAGCCCCAGCAAAGGGCATCTAGTTCCCAATTAACCCAAACGGCCTGTAACTGGTCAAAGTGCCCTAGCTAACTCCCTGGCCGCTCTAGCCGGCAGGCCATGTCTCAATGCTGCCTGCCCCATAAAACTGCCTTTGCCCTGCTCCTCAACAAGACACTGCTCTCTGTCACCCGGGGCAGCCTGGCCGTTTACCCCCCAATAATCTATCCATGGCACAGTCGACTTTAGTAGTTTTGTTCTGCTTACAGCTATTAGGTGAACGTCAAAGTTCAGTGACCACACAGCTGGTGCGTGCAGCCCTCCAAGTTCACTTGCCTGTTGCCTGAAGCTGCCTGTTGCCTCGGTGTGGGTCGGCAGCACACGGCAGTTTTCTTGGGTGTTTAGGAATTTGGGACCTTAAATTGGGAGACCGGAAGCTTCGCTGAAGTACCTGAGCAAAGCCTGAGGGTGTGAGGCATGTGAACCCTGTTTGGAGAATAAAGCATTTACTGACAGCAGGAACAGCAGGTGCAAAGGTCCTGAGACAGAGGCTGGAGGCAGTGGGCTGGGAAGTGGGGGAGTGATGGGGAGGGAGAAGGAAGGTGTGTGGGGGAGGGAGAAAGAAGGAGAAGGGGCAGTCTGAAAGGCTCTTTGTCCGTTGTGAGGGTTCCTTCTTTTTCCTTGAAACGCTGAGTCATTTAGGGTTTTCACACAGAACAGAAGCGGTCTGATTTCTGTCTGTAGTAACGACGGGGGAGGTGTTCTAAAATGAGAACACTGACTTCAGAAACAGCATGGCGACACTCCTCTGTAGTCCCAGCACTGTAGAGGCGGAGGCTGGGGGTTTTGAGGTTGAAGGTTGTTTGCCTGAACTTCTCAACTAGCTCTCACCTAAAGATCCAAACCTGGGCTGGCGAAGCAGCCAGCTGGTAGAGTGCTTGCTTAGTATACAGAAAAGCCTGAGGTCCATTCCTGACACCAACCTGACCTGGCAATGTGCACCTGTAATCCAGCAGGTGGAAGCAAGAGAACCTGTAGTTCAAGGTCATCCTGTGTTTGAGGCCAGCCTGGCCTACATGAAACCTTGTCTCGATGTTGTTTTTGGAAGAAAGCCGAGCCAGGCCAAATCAAGCCAAACAAAGTAGGGAAGCATCAGAAAGGCTGGGTGACACAGGGAAGTCTGAGCAGAAAGAGGCAGAGGTGTCCCAGTCTTGACCAAGTCCCCTATTACCTGTCTTCCTGGCCGTCCTTCACACAGAGCCTCAGCAATTTTCCAGTAAGTGAATTCAAAGTGACTGGAGGTGCTTGGCTGGAGTTGGCTGGAGAAGGGAGCCACCCAGCCCACGAGCCCATCTGCCGTGCTCTGCCTAGTTGCCGAGAACAGTGAGTGGGGCTGGCCAGGCCTGGCCAGCAGGCCCTTCTGTTTCCCTTCGCCTTGGCCCCTCCATGCAGCAGCCTGGGCGACAGACATTAATTAAAGTGTGAGGGAATGACTTCATTAGCTTCTAATGGTCACATGCTGCCAATTACACACCTTGATGACTAGCTTCCTCTGGAGCTTAATTAGCTAGTTCTCAATAAATCCAGCCCATGTGCCGCCACCTGTCAGGTTAGGAGCCAAGACGTGTCTTGGATGTACCCTCTTCTTCTTCCTTGGGAGCCAGTAGCTCCGGGAGGAGTCACGTTGGCATCGACACATCGGAGGTCGTCCTGGCATCCTGCTGAGCATTTGAAGCTTGGTGGAAATTTCCTGGTGGGTAATATTTTACCGGCTGGGCTGGCTGTGTGTCTTCCATACCCTGGGGATGGGATCCCTCAGCTAAGGAAGCCTGTGAGAAAGGAAAACCTGAATGCACATGGCAGCTTCTCCCTCCTGCAGGTTACAGGAAGTTCCACTTCTTAGTCTTCTCTAACAGCTGCAGAGCTGGATTTGTTCAGAATGAAGGGCAGTTTGACAGCACCTCAGGGGGCCCACTTTGCCTCCTGCAAACTCAGCCTGGGTCGACAGAGCGGAGAGGGTGCGGCAGACCCTGGGCCTGAAGAGTTGACGGAGTAGACGCGTGCTGGATGCGATTCCAGGACACTCGGATGCAGGGTCAGAGGGCAGACATTGCCGGGGACACTGGCCAGCTTGGGGAGGATACCCTGAAATGAGAGTGGTAAACGGAGGACCTGGGAAGTTGTGAGTGCTCTCTGGGGCTGACCAGGGACCACGGTCACTGTTGAGCCTGCTCCAAGCTCCCTCCTGAAGTTGTGGGCTCCATGAGGCTGTGCAGCGCACTGCAGGGCCTGCTGCTCTGACCTGCACTGCTAAGGTTCCTCGTGGAGGCAGGGCTGTGCAGTGGCCCATAGGCCCCCAAAGCATCCTTTCACTCTCTCGGTTCTCCTCTTGTCTCAGCTCCCAGGTCGCGCTGCTCTTTTCATTTTGTTTATTTCCTCTTGTTTTCAGAGAGAGTCTCATTGTGGACCACACTGGCTTCAAACTTGTGATGCTCCTGCCTCAGCCTCCTCAGTGCCCTGCTCCTTGGAGTCCTGTAGCCCCTCCATGGAGCATGCGCTCCATGACTACTCCACCACTAGATGGTAGGGAAAGCAACAAAGTTCTGAGATCCGCTCTGGCCCCGGAGAAGCCAGCAGCTGCCACCCCTCTCCTGGGGCTCCCTCCTGAAACCCAGCCCTCGAAATGTGGCAAGCAAGTGGGCACAGGGCACTGACAGCTCCAGCTGATTCCCAGCCAGCTGCCAACAGCAACTGCCAGACACACGTGCAAGCCTTCAAACGACCGTCTGCTCAGAGTGGAGACGGGCTATCCCCACTGACCCCGGCCACAGAGCACAGAGATAAACAAACATGCAGATTCCAGACCTGCTTTTGTCAGATGACTGAAGCTCAGGCCAGTGCAGGCTCTCAGGCCTCCAGACTCTCAGATAACTGCAGCAGCCCAGAAATGTGGCCCCGACTTACTTCCCAGAGCACAGGGCAGCTCACGGTGTTGGTGGGATGAATGACTTGCATGTGCATTCCAATCAAGAAAAGAACCTGCCTTTGCTCCAAGACCCTGGCTTCTGCTGGTGCCTTGCTCCAGTGTTCTTTACAAACTTTGATTTTATTAACACTGGTGTTCCTTTTTTCTAGTACAATTAGGAATTTCAAAATATGGAAAAGAATTCCATGTGAAGCACCTCTGTGTGAGCTGAGAGTGTCTGGGGCTGCCAACACAGCTCTCACCACCTTGCAGAAGCCCTGTAGGGCTCATTTTCTGTGGAGCTGTATGTGTGTGTGTGTGTGCGTGTGTGTGTGTGCGTGTGTGTATGTGTGTTTGTGTCCTTTAAGTTGTTCAGGTGTTTGCGGCAGCAATGAGAAGCAAGGAGCATACCCCCTTTTCTCTTGAAGGCAGTAGGAGCAGGCCCCCTTCTCTCTTGAAGGCAGTAGGAGGCCTCTGGGGTAAGAGGAATGTTTTTCCTCTGGAGAAGGGTTGCAGTGGGCCGGTTGTGGCCCTCCTTGTCACAGTGGGAGAGAGTTGGGCTTAGCAGAGGGTCCAGGACTTCTGGCTTCTGCTGGAAGAGAGATCCAGGAGCAGTCAGCTGGGAGGGAGGCTGTGCTGCCCAGGCTGCGGGAAGTCAGACTGCAAACAGGCTCAAGGATGATTGATGGCTGAGGTCTGAGGCAGCAGGGCCCATGGCATGTTCTCGGAGCCCACAGTGAGGACTAAGAGGGGGAGCTGCTTTGTAGTTGACCTGGGCTTGAGACTGAGCCGCTGCACCAGGAGCATCCATCAGAAGCTAAGGACAGGTTGAGTGGGATGGGTCTAAAGACAGGCGGGGCCTGGTGGGGAAGGCGGCATGCAGCCTTGGAAGGGGTCTGAGAATAAGAATGACAATGTTTGAGGATGGCGTTAGCCTAGATTTCCAGAAAACTCTAGGAACTCCTTGGAGTCCTCTGTGGCCCTCAAGGTGTCAGCTTCTTCAGGGAGCTGGTGAGGGAGCAGCTTGGCTCAGGAGTAAGAGGACTGACCTCTCAACTCGGTGCTGCAACCATCACAACCCTCAGAGCCTTCCCACTCACCTTCTCTGTAGGTCAGTGTTGACTGAGGTGGACATGTCCTTTGGGCGCTAGCGATGACATGATTCGAAGCACACCGCAGGCTGAGAAACCAGGCTTCAGAGGTAAACCACTGCTTTTCCTTGGCCCATTCGGCTCTGTTGGAATTTGAAAAGGTCCACACCCAGGGCTGACTTCTCCAGGGACATCACTCACGCTGGCTCAGAGGCAGAAGCGCTCAAATCCATCTTGTTTCTTTGAGTATTTGTTTCTTGTAGCATTGATTTTCATTATAGAGAAATTAGAAAATCAAAAAAGAAATGATTCATAAGGTCAGCGGCGTGACTTAGCATGTTTATTGTTGCCTTTTCTAGCTGTGTAGTGCAGCGTTGGACTGACTGTTCTGAGCCGTTCTCCCTTGATACACTTGAACTCTCTCCTTTTTGATAAATACAGACCGACTTCATCATCTTTAATGGCTTCCTGATAATCTCATCGTGTGAACATTACATAAATTATTTAACAATTCCCTACTTGTTTGAACTTTAAATTCCTCTCCCTTTTTGTTTTGCTGTTGCAGGCAGGGCTGTGATGGTTCTAAGCACGGATCTTCTGCCACTTACTTAATTATTTCCTCCCATAGGAAGATTTTTATGGCTCCTAATGTGTATTACCCCACTACTCTCTAGAGCCTTCTTTGGTCCTGTATTTACCACCCCTGCCAATGCCAGGCATTAGAATTCTTTGAAATCTTTGCTGTAGAAAAAAGTAGCTTTAGTCACATTTGTTTTATTCCTGCTAAAACTGAGTGCTGCCACCTGCATTTCTTCTCTTGTGTTTGCCTTTTTTGTCTTACTTTGCCGTTTTGCCCCTGTGGTGTATGTATTAGTTTCTTACTGTCTCCATAACAAATTTACTATAAACTATGATTTAAAGCAGCAGTTAGGCCAGGCACGGTGGCACGCCCCTGTCATTCCAGCACTTGGGGAGGCAAAGGCAGGCAGATCTCTGTGTGTTAGAGGCCAGCCTGGTCTACAAATCGAGTTCAGGACAGCAAAGGCTACACAGAGAAAGCTTGCTCAAAAAACCAAAACTCAAACAAACAAAGAAAATCAACCAGCAGAGATGTATTCTCTCTTGGTTCTGAAGGCCAGTCTGAAATTAAGGGTGGACAGAGCCACACTCCCTTTGAAGTTGCTGAAGGCAACCATGACTTGCTTCTTTCTAGCTTCTGAGTGACCCGCTTTCTCTGTGACCTCACTTTCTGTTTCCACATGGCTGTCCTTGTGTAAGGACAGTGGTCACTTTGTTTAGGATGCGTTCTAATCTACTGACTCATTTTAGCTGGGTTATTTGGCAAAGACATTCCAAGTAAGGCCTCAGCTTCAGGTCCTAGGGTGCCAGGATTTTAGTGTCTTCTAAATGACTTTGACCTCACCGTTGTGCTGTCTTTTCTTACTAGCTACAATCCTTTCCCTCGTCTCTTTTTGGATCCTTTGGCTCACACCAGCCACTCTGTCCAGGGCCAGAGAAGTCCAAGGAAGGCATGGTGGTGATGTGAGTTGGAGGCATGAGGGCTTCGAAGCCCTGGTACTGCCCTTTGTTCTGGGAGGAAAAGAGGAATGGGGGAAGGAGAGGAAGGGAGCAGTCCCGCTGAGGGCCTCTTTCCCAGCAGCTCTGAGGGTTAACGAGATGACTGATGACTATCAAGGTAGGAGAGGCATGGCCTGCAGAGCCATAGGTGGCTCACAGGCAGGTGAGTGGAGGCTAGTGGGGAAAGCCTGGAGGTGAAGCAGGTGGCTAGCATGCATGAGGCTCTGGCTTTAATCTCTAGGACTGAAGAAAGGAAAGGTTAAACGAATGATCTCTTTGGCTATGAAGGGGGCTCTAAGCCCACCAGGATGTTCTGAGCTCATATGAGGCTGTTTTGAGTAATCGTTTCCTTCCTTCCTTCCTTCCTTCCTTCCTTCCTTCCTTCCTTCCTTCCTTCCTTCCTTCCTTCCTTCTGTCCTTCCTTCTGTCCTTCCTTCCTTCCTTCCTTCCTTCCTTCCTTCCTTCCTTCCTTCCTTCCTTCCTTCCTTCCTTCCTTCTTTTCTTTTTGTCCATGTCTCATGGAGCTGGCCTCGAACTTAGTAGGTAGCTGAAGATGACGGTGAACCCCTGTTCCTCCTGCCGCTGTGATTATTGGCATGTACCAGCATGCCTGGTTTTATGCAGCGTGGGGACTGAACCCCATGCATGCCAGGTGAACACTATTGACTGAGCCTTCATAACCACCTCTTAAAATCACCTCATGCACATGGGCACTGCAATGGATATTTAGTTCAGAGCTTAGAGGCCCTTTGCCCTGCAATGGCGTGTGTCACAGTAAGGAGCGGAACTCATCCACAGTAGAGAGACCTCGCAGATCCCCCTCTCTGCAAGTTTCCTTCTTAGACACAAATTCCAGCTGAGTCACCTGAGCCTCTCCAGGTGAGAAACAGCCTCACTTCTGCACACATGCCTTGAGGGACAGCTCTGCAGAGGCAAGAGTTCCAGGACAAGGCTCCAGAAGCCCTGCAGAGAGGGAGGATTTGTCGGAAGTGGCCCGTGGTGGGGCAGCGTACTGCGGGGGTATTCAGCTCACAGTGCCCAGCACAGGCAGGACGCACCGGGGTTTCTCAGGTGAAGTGTCCCGCACCCACAGCCAGCAGTTAGGATGGAAATGCGGGCCTCAGTACAAGCACCGCTGAAGCTGGGTGCTCACCACCATGAAAATGCTGAAGGAGAAAGCCAAGCTCAGGGGAAAATAGATGCCTGGATTCAGAGCCCAGGTCTGCAGGGTCCTGGCAGGCCAGTGCTTTTAATCTGTTTAGATTCCGACTTCTAGTTTGTAAAAGTAAGATGAAATTCTTTGAGCTAGTTGGAGGTGAAGATAGCAGCACATTGTGTGACGAGCTAGTTTCTGACGCAGGGCAGGTGCCAGTGTGTCTCTCTCTTTCTTTCTTTCTTTCTTTCTTTCTTTCTTTCTTTCTTTCTTTCT